TGCCTGGTTGGAAGATTTTTGAGTATTGGCTAATTTCATAGGGTCATAGACTATTAATATTACTATTAACTGTAAACTTTCAGGATTGCTTATGTAGACTTTTTCCAAAACTACTGTATTATTTGCTTGAAATCACTTAAAAGTTTCTCATTTAAAATCTGAACACACCTGAACTATGCAGTAGTAGATGAAATATCAGATAGAGGGAAGCAAGTTAGTTGTCTATTTTCCCCTTGTTATTCCCTTGGTAGAAGCACAGCTGTAGAAAGGAAACCAGAAGAAGGGTGGCTAGCTACACTTGCCCTCATAGGCAGCGTGCCTGAAGAATCAAATACTTTGTTAGTATTCTGACTGGTTGAATTGAGTCAAATATTAATTTCCTTGCAGTGTCAAAGCTGTATGTATTTTTACTTAAAAATTCAGTAGTCTGCCCTTATAAAGGGAAATTTGTCAGCTTGTAGCCTGGTTGGAGTTAGACCGATAAATAGAACAGCCTACACTAAGTTTTCAGAGTGTATGTAGTTCAACTTAAATTCAGACCTTAAATGCCCTAAAATTTAAAAAAAAAAAAAAAAAAAAAAAAGAGAGAGAAAAAAGGCACCAGTCACTGGATAAGTTTTCTTAATAACTTGAGCAGATGGGAAGCAACATAAACTTACAAAGACAGGTAAAAAACCTCTAATACCTCTGCATTGCTTCTTTATTTTTCTTTTTCATTAAATGTCAAGAGGCTGAGCATCCCAAAGAATAAATTCAAGCTCTCAAGAATCTTAAAATCTCCCTTTGTAGGGAGAATATTTTGACAGCTAAATTTATTTTCTTCTTAATTGGTAAACTGAAACTACATATTAATAGAGTCTAGCAACTGAAACCTTTGGCACCTCAAATTGTATAGCTCCTTTTGGGGCATACTCATTCTTTTTGAAGAGCATGCAAGTGTAGAAAAGGCTTGTATACTTGAGAGACTTCATAACACACCAGCTTGTAACCTGGCCAGTGGACATGGGAGTAAAAGATCTTTGAAAATGAGATTGTGTTGATCTGCTGCTGTAAATATTTCAGGAGGGAGATGAATAGCTGTCTGCTTCTCTTAACTACTTTTTAGTAGTAAAAAGTAGTTAAAGGAAGGGGTAAAATTTTCAGTTCCACCATAAGAAACTGAAGATGAGTATAAGCAAGAATAAGAGGAAAAAACTAGCACTACAAGAATGAGTAAAGCAAGCTTTAATATTTTGGGTTTTTTTGGTGGTGTTTTTGCTTGGGTGTTTTTGTTTGTCTTTTATTTTGCTGTGTGGAGTTTTTTTAATAAAAGCTTAGAAAACCTACACTTATACTAAATTTTATTTTAAAAACCCTAGTTAAATCCTAAAATTAATAAAAGTAGACATGGAGCTACTTCTGTAACAGTATATTCTAAAAAGTGTTGTGTAATACTTGGAGCAAATTTATCATCTCATTTCAATGTCCTGATAAACAAAAACCACATCTATATTTAGCAGCAAAACATAGAGTGCTTTCTGATAATGTTATTTTTGACTTTTCTACTTTTTTTTCCACAGAGAGAAAAAGGTAGAAATGTAAAAGTTGAACAATAGAACTTTGAGGAAGTAGGGGGAGGAAAAACTAAGTATTTCACAAAACTAATTTTGCTGGCTTCTCTTTGTTTCTGAGAATTCATGGTATAGGGAACTTTATGAAGTAACAGTGTCTTAAGTAGGTAGATACTTTATATATTTGTGAAGTGAATTCAACACAAGGATACTGTTAAAGCCTTCTGTCAACAAATGATAAAGTAGTAAGTCTCTTTAAGAGCAACAAAAAAAATCATATTGTTTCTGTATTTCAATCATTGCAACAATACTGTTCATTCTGAACAGGGAATGATTGTAAATTGTATGAAGGTTAAGAATAAACAGCAGCCATAGACAAAGTCTGTGGGTCAAGAGATGTCTTTGCTTTAAGAACCCATTTTTGAATCTGAAAAATTATTTGTTGAGTTCCTCATGATAGAATTGGCACCAGGACTGGAAGACAGCTCTAATTGCCAAAGTTGATTTTTTGTTGTTGGAGTGTTATGAAGTATTGCATGTTCTGTTTTTGTTTCGGAGACAAAATCTTATGAAGTACACTAATCCATGTTAAGTGTAATATCTATTTTATCACAATATGGACAACATTGTCTGACGTATATTATCAGCTAACTCATTTTCTAGAACAGAATTTGGTGTTTTTCTAAAAAGAGGCTTAAGTGCTGTCATCAGTCTTAGTGTATTTAAAAGAGCAGAGCTTCCCTTACTGATACTGGAATACGCATCTTGTGCCAATAGCATTTTCTTGTCTTGCTGATATATAATTGGGGGGAATAAAAGGCTGACTTCCATTTCATTTCAATTGTGAAAAAGAGAACAGGTATAGTGGGAAATTTAGGTGGAGAGGAGAGGGAAGAAGGTAAGAAAGATAACTATTAAATATGCCTGTTTTTCCTAAGATGTTGACCACTGTGTAAAAATACTTTTTAAAAAAAAAAAAAAAAAAACCTATTGTTTTGTTTTACTGGCAGAGTTTCTTGAGGCACATGAATATCCAGAGCATATTAAACAATTGGTACAGAAAGAGAGAGAATTGGAAGAACAAGAAAAGAGGCAACGTGAAATTGAGCGCAACACGTGCAAGGTTAGAATTTCTACTAAGTAAAGTAAAAATACATTTCCAGTAAGAAATGTTTCAACAGTAAATAGTAATTTTTTACTACAATAAAAAGACTTTTCTGTTAAGTGTATTTGTTTTAACAAATCTTTAAAGTTAATTGTACACCTGTTGGAAGCCTCTATACAATGAAAGTTTGTTATTCACTACATATTTTTGCTGAGTTGACTTATTCCATGTGAATTTGGATTGGTATTAAAACCAAATCAAAACTGTAGTTGATGTGACAGCACTTACTTTCTGCAAAATCAGAATCATAGAATGAATCATCATTGAATGTTGGAAAACTAATTCCAGAGATTATGTAATGCCTTATTAGGTGTTTCATACTGTTAAATCTTTTCATATTGTGACCCTTTGTTTTCTGAAATGTTTCTTAAACTAAATGAAAATAGTTATTTGGCAGAAAGAGCAGAATCTTTTTCCAACCGTAGATTCAATAGTAATAAACAAAGTATGAAATCAGTAACATAAAAGCATGACAGTCAGCTAGCTAATCTACCTATGAATCAAGTCATTGTTTTATTAGCAGGTTCTCTATGGTTGCAAAATATGTAATTCTGTATGTGAAAAAGGAATTTCACATTCATTGTTCCTGTCTGCATTTTGGTTTGGAGGATTTGTACACTGCATACAGTTTAAAGATGTTCTGGTTGTAGATGTTGTACCTTAGTGTTGCAAAAAGGGGGGGGATAAATCCAGTCTTGTGTGAAACAGGAGAGGAAATGTATTGTGAAAAGGGGGGGGATAAATCCCATAGTTGTGGCTGGCACTGAATATGCGACAGACGCAGACCGGGAGGCAAATGGTTTGAAGGGTCTTTTGGATTGCCGGTGATAAAATTAAAAGCTACGGGTATAGCTAAAGGTTTATTGCTAATAGCAACACACCAGGTCTATATATGTGTGTGCACACACAAAACAATAACAACTTGCCCGCTGTAAGCCCGGATGCCTGGCAAATAGATAAGCTTGTTGAACAGAAAACACAACAGACCAAGAAACAGTACAGTTGCGACAAGAACCAAGGGTACACTCAGGGAAGCACAGAAATGCACCTGAGGAGAAATATGAATACACCCAGGGAGGAAAAGTCTGTCTCTCAGTGTTGGCTGAGGTTAATAATCTTACCCACACGGCATCCCAAGTGGGGGGGATGGTGAAGGAGCGAATTCGTCAGTCCCTCCTGTCATCGGTGTGGTTCCGAGTCGACCCTGTCCCAGTTTTGGGGCCGACATTGGGGTGATATTTATACTTGAGTTTTTTACATTACATCACCCGGGTGTACTGCGGTTGTGGATGACCATAGACAATCTTACCACTTGGGTTAATGCCCCAAAGTCTGTTGATTTACACCTGCATAGGTGGGGGTGGTGGCTCCTTTTGTTTGGGGCTAAGCCATAGGAAGACTGGGACCACGAGGCCTCCGCGGTGGCTCCTTTTGTTTGGGGCTAAGCCATAGGAAGACTGGGACCACGAGGCCTCCGC